CAAAGTAGGTGCTATATAAATGTTTATTATTACTACTGCTATCACTACTATTACTACTACTACTACTACTACTACTGCTGCTGCTGCTACTACTACTGCTGTTATCATTATATCACTTTACTGTACCACACTTCTTAGCCCTGTGGCCCTGGACAAGTCCCATCATCTCTCCAAGCCTCAGTTTCCTCATCGGTAAAGTGGACCTTGCCACCTACTTTATTGTAAGGAAAATGCTTTGTAAATCACATACAGCCTTGAAGAGTGGGAGGAAGGGAGGCTGAGGGGGAGGGGCAGGCTAGGGACACAGCCAAGCTGAGGCACAGAGGCATTACATTCCTGGAGGGTTAATGATCTTTGGGGTGATGAGTTCAGTACAGCCCAGGCTGGAAGGTTTGTCATCCTTCTTCCAACCCCTCCTCCCCGAGGGGATTTTTGCTGATCATCAGGACAGTGAAGGGCACAGGGGCTGGTAGAGACAGACGTCTGGTTGCATGGTACTCCAGGAGATGCCTTCACCAGGGTTAGGACCAAAGAAACAGGCATCTGAATGGGAAGGGACCTTAACAGTCACTTAACTGAACACTCTCTTGTCCATTTTGTGGGCAGGGAACTGATGTCCCAAGAAGAGAAGAGACTTACCCAAGGTCTTGCATATCCAGAGCCAATAACATTGCCAGTCTCCTAGGCCCATGTTCCTTCTCTTATGCAGAAGATCAAAGGACGTAAACAGAATGTTAGCTCCCTGAGGGCAGGAGCTACCATGTTAGTCTTTGTGTATCGAATGTCTGACATAGCCAGTAAGTGATAAATGCATACTGATTAATAGGGCTGGAAGGGACCTTAGATATCATCTATCTTAACCCCTTCATTTCCCAGAGAACACTGAGGCCAAGCAAGGTAGCAATGACTTGCCCAAAGTCTTACAGTCAGACCATGGCCTTTTATCACGTTCCACAAACTTGGGTCACTTCTGGAGTAGATAGTAACAACAGCTCTTACTGCAATATTACTTTTAGGTCTACAAAGCATTTTCAAGAATTCAGTCAATCAACATACATTTATTAAATGCCCACAGCAACTCTGGTAGGGAAGTGACCCGTTTTATAAGTGAGCAAGCTGAGAGTCAAGTGATTTGCCTACAGTCCTGCAGGCCATGAGAGGCAGAATCTGGATTCAAATCCACATTTTTAGACCTTGAGGTGGTTCCTCATTTATGATTCTAAAAGAAACCAGGTACAGAGGGCACAGAAGACACAGAAGCCGGTGCTCCTGCTCATCACCCACGAGCCCCGAATATGCCCCACACTCTGTCCTTTCCTCTTCTGCCTCCACATCTCTTCTGTTGCCTTATGTCTCTCAGGTGACCTTCCGGAGTGCCAGAGAGAGGGAGGACTATTGCCTGCCTCATCTGGAATATGCTAAAAGACCCTTAGAGAAACCCATCTTCTCTTACTCCTCAGGAGCTCCAGGAGGGCTGGTGGTAGCTTCTAGGCTGGGACTAAATCTAGAGTGATAAATCTGGGATATGGAGTTGGGTTTGGGGAATGGATGTGTATGTGTGGAAAATGAGGGACAGCACTGAGCCACTCATCCTACAGTAGACCCCAAACTATGTAGCAGGAGGGAAAATGATCATGGAATTACAGATTAAGAGCCAGAAGGAGTCCTCTGGTCCATCTTCCCTGTCTACAGGGAGCCAAAGCCCAGAAAAGTCCAGTGACATGCCCAAAGTCACACAGGTAGCCAATGATGGAGTGAGGATTCTTTCACCTGCCCAATGCTGCCTCTTGGGGCTAAAATGAGAAGGACTTCAACCCAGGCCACAAGGGACTTTGAGGCTGATGTGAGGTTAGGTGGGCACTTACCATTCCTGAGGTAAGAGGCTCATTCTGGAGCAGCCAGAGATGCACGGATTTGGTGTGGATACAGCCCTCTTGTGCACTAGGGAATCTCCCTGTTGAAGGGAGCCTGGGGGCCCTGGGGGCTTCACGATGCAGAGGAAGGGCTGACTTTGGAGTTAGGGAGCCTTGGTCTGCATCCCAGTCTGGCCACTTACCAGCTGGGCGATGGGAGTTATATCATTTAAACACTTGGAGTCTCGATCTCAGTATTGATAAGATGAGGGAGCTGGAGTAGATGGCCTCCAGGGACACTGGCTCAAGACTCAGAATTTAAATGGCGCCTCACATGCTGACTGTGACCCTCGGCCTGCCACTCAAATTCCCCAAGACTCGGTTTCCTTTTCTGTGAAATAAGGGGGAAAGATTAGATGGCTTATGGGGCCCCTTCCAACTCTAGTTCTCTGGCCTTATAAATGACAAAGACCCCTTTGCCTTTGGTAAAATCCTGAAGGGGATCGGTCTGTCCACTCTTTGCTTCCCACTCTGTCCTCAGCTGCTCTCCTTCTCTGCTCTGTCTGGCTGTCCCCCGAGTCCACAGGGAGCCAGGCCTCAGGGCTGTATGGCGAGGGGTCTGGGACCCTAGTATTGTGACCCTCCTCCTGGAAAGGGGGCTTCCAGAACTGGCCCCTGTGGGCTGCTCCCTCCGACCACCCACCCCCACTCTAGGCTGCTCTGGTGGCTTCCTCTCTCCCTGCCCATCCAAGAAGCCAAATCTTAGGGCTTTAATCTTTGATATTTATTGGTGTTACATAAATCACAGAGAACGAGAAATTGATTCAGAAGGTTAAAAAGACTCTATGCCCACAGTTGGCAAATCCCCTGGTCTGGCCGAGGTATATAGGGTGGTACAATTATTCACATTGAGCCCTAGGCAGGGCTGGAAGACAATTGGCAATTTGGAACAGGTTTCCTATTCCTCCCTCCCCCCACCCCAACAGAACACGAAGGTGCTCTTGTGGACATGGTCACATACACGGTGGCTGAAGCCGTCCAGATCAAGGACCCAGGCCGCAGCAGGGAAGGACGATGAGGATATGATGGGTAGACAGGTTGGTCTGTTCTCCTCCCCACGAGGGGCCTGAATCTCCTGACATCTGATCCTTGGGACCTGGTCCTTTGAGTGACCCAAATGGGCCACGCTCCCAATCTGGGCAGAAGAGTAGCCCTATACTTCTGTGGCAGATCTGGAAGCAGCTGGATGAAGGATGAGAAACATCTACAGATGGTCTGTTGCACAGGGTGAGCAAAACCCTGAGTTCAGTAGTAGCTGAAGCCGCCTCTACCCACCTGACCCCCAGACTTCGCACCCTCCATCAATCTGGCAGGTGAACACTGCAAGGGACCAGGGAGCGACCTGCCCTTTTCCCTGGCTGCCAACATTCTTTTCTTCTTGCCTGGGTAGAAGTGGGGAAATTCTGGGCCGGTGGGTATCTGCAAAGCTGCTTCCCTAGCAAGGTTTGGGGGGAATAGTGGATCAGAGTGGTTGAAAGGCAGACCACTCTTCCACCCATTTTCAGCTTGTGCGGAAAGGAGGGCTCTGCTTCCTCTACCACCTCCCTCATCCGTCCCGCCTTCTAGAGATTCACCTAACTTAGTTAAGATTGCTAGAAATCAGCTGGAAGACAAAGGAAAAGAGACGGCCAGAATCTGAGGATGCTGGCGTGGTGGGGGTTGGCGGCTCCCTCCCCATCTCCTTAGGGGATGTCCGCTAGCAGCCCTGTCCCAAGATAAAGTGCACAGTTCTAGCTTGAGGGGGACAGGGTAGGGCTCTAGGCGCTGAGTTCAATCTCTTGGAAGGGAAGCTGGGGGCCTACAGCTCCCTGCACCCATTGGTGGGCCCCCATGCATATGCCCACATACATAGTCCTCTAAAACCTTGGGATTACAGGAAATTCACATTATAGTGGGATTGGCTCTTCTTAGCCCAGGGTGAGGCAGGCAAGGAAGGACCCAGCTCAAGAATACACCCCCTCATTATTGCTCCTCCTCAATACACATATTGAGCCCTCCCCACTAGGGGTGGGGTGGGGATGGTGCAGCCACGGCACCAGGTCCAGCCTAACTGCCGAACACCAGGCTACGCCCCCTCCTCCTGCCCCACACGCTGACTTTGGCCTCTGCCCCCCCACCTAACAGGCTCACAGCTGTGTCAAAGGAGACTAGGGATGGGAACTAGTTGGCCCTCTTGCCCCCTAATGACAAACCAAGAGAGTACCTGGTGCCACAAGCTGACATTTCAGAAGAGAGAGGAGAGTCTCACCTGCCATCTTAGTCCCCAAGGTGGTCCCTGTGTGACTTCCAGCGCATTGCTATCCTTCTCTGGGCCCTTTTTCCTAGCTCAGTCTGGTAGGAGGAAGCCTCCTTGAGAAAAGTGACCTGTCACCCCCACTGCTCCCCTGGGCTGGTGGAGCTCTGTTGCCCATCTCGGAGCCAAGGAGACCAGATCAGCTTTTCCTCTCCATCTCTACAGGGCACAGCTCAGTTATCTCTTTTCCTAAGCTAGATAGAGACCTTGTTCTCTTCACAGTAGACCAGGCGTCTCACAGGAGACCTAGCCATGAGATAAGTAAGAAGTGACAGGTGGTCACTCCAGGCTGCAGTAATCTCTCCCTTTTGCAATCTGACTGCATTGAAGGGCTCCAGGAATCCTGAAATCATAGCTAAGGTCTGGCCTTGCCTGGGGATCCCTCCCAGGAGGCTGGTCTTGCTTTAGACAGCTCAGGCATTATTGTTACCAAAATAGGGATTTTTTTTTCTTTCAACATAATCATTGATAATAATAGTTGGTCCTTCTAGAAGCAATCCCTTATGGGATCTGTCCAGGCAAATGTCAGCCTATACCTTTCTGTATCCAATTTTGAATTGGAGTCAAAGCATCAAAGGCTCTGAAAGCTGGAAAGGACTTCTAAGATCAATATAGTGCCCATCCTTCTACCACTGCCCATTTCACTGATGAGGAAACTGAGGCCCAGAGAGCGGAAGTCATTTTACTAAGGTCCCAAAGCAAGTCAGTGTAACTAGGGCTTTTTTTTTTTTTTTTAGGCAATTGGGGTTAAGTGACTTGCCCAGAGTCACACAGCTAGTAAGTGTTATGTGTCTGAGGGTGGATTTAAACTCAGGTCCTCCTGACTCCAGGGCCAGTGCTCTATCCATTATGCCACCTAGCTCCCCCAGGTTTGGGCTTTCTGTCTAAGCACCCAGCCTCTCAAGCCTGAGCCAGGAACAACAGCTCTCTGCATCCCTGATACAAAACCCACTTGGGGAGGAGAGTAAAGGAAAGGGGGAGGGGAGAAGTCAAGGGTAGTACAGGTCTAAGGAGACAGGCCGCTTTGGGGCAGAGTGGTCTAAAGGGGAATAAACCCAAGTTGGTCCAAACATCCCTGTCAGTTGCACGGCCATCCTGAGGTTGATACGTGGTTCCCAGTTCCATTGGTCTTCGTGAAGAGTGAAAGGCTCAGTTGCATCTTTCCCGGGCAGATGTGTCCCAGATGGCTTTTCCTACATGGTCCCCATCCCAAGAGGGGTGGCATATCCTTAATTCCTAGGTCTCTCCTCTTTGGGCAAAGGGGAGAGGAGAATTCTTTCCACCCCTGGAGCTTCAATGGCTTTGGAGGCTGGAAGGAACCAATTTCTGGGTCATTTTCAAGGATTTAGATAACTTTGCGTCCATCAAGTCTTGGCTTATTCCTGATAGGGATAGAGTGGGGAGAAGCAGAGGACAGGGGACTTCAGCACATACTGGTGTAGCTTGGATGATTGGACAGGCAGGCAGGTGCCATCTGAGATCTGGTTACTGATGGGCTTCCATGGTGGGGAAGGGGTGCCAGGCAGTCCTGGAAGGGTTACATTGCCTGATCCTGATCTTCTGGCTAGAATTTTGGGCCAGAGACCAGGTCTAGTTTGTCCCAAAGGGCTCAGGGGAGCACTCCAGAGCGTCAGTCCCCAGCTTAGATTGCAACCCTGGGAACTTGCTGCCTTTTTCTTCCTCCACTCCCCAGGCCCCACCAATTTGGGCCACTTAAAGTCCTTATCCCTCTCTTGTTGGTGCATATAAAGTGCTGGCATCTTCTTCCAAAGGTGATTCAGTCCTTAGTCTTGGAAGCACTCACAGTTGTAAAGTGCCTCCAATGTCATCATTCCATTAGTAGCATCCCTTCCCATCTCCCTTTCCCAAATCACAAAATGGAGGCACCCAGTCTCCTGTAAGGTCTGGATTTAGGCTTGCTTTGGTGCCCTCGATAACTGACCTGTGGCTTCCCCATCTGGGGGGCTCCAGAGGGCAGAAGGCTGCTGCTAGGGATAGGGACATGCTTTCCTGGTCCCTTTAATGGGAAGGCCCCAGGGTCTCAAGTTCCAGTCTAGTTGGGTTCCAGTCTTCAAGGAAGGGAGAGAAGAATAGGGGAAGGGACACATGTAGCATCTCCTGTTTACTGGAAACACCAGATTAGCCAGGGCAAGATTGGGCAACAGTGCTCAGGTTTTCCCCAGAGGATGTGATGCAGCACCCCCACCCCATCAAGTTCATGTGCCCAATTCCCATGCTTATCCACCCAGCTATGAAATGGCTTCTTTGCAGCATCAACCAGTGTTAAGACTCAATTCTGACTTTAAAAAACCCAACCAAACAAAAAGAAACAAAAAAAAACCTTTAAAATCCCAACACCCTATTTCTCTCTTTAGGGCATTCTATATATTTCTTCCCAGCTTCACTCATGATTGTGCTGGGATAGGTTCTGTAAGCTCCCCACCACAGCCCAGAAATGTGCTTGATTATAGTATTTCCTTTCTATAAAATCTGACTCTCCCCTGCACTAGGCTTTTCCCCCTCCCCCTTCTCCCTTGTGTTAAAATCTGACTGCTTTAACCTCCCAACCTCCTGTAAGGTGGTGGTTGTCTGAAAATGTTACTTCCTTTCCAACATTAGTGATCTGGTGTTAGCTTGGAACTCCTTGCTCAACTACTTGGAGTCAGGAGGGCAGGCTGACATTTCCTCTTTCCAGCCCTCACCCTACCCGGTCCTCTGGCCCATTGCTTCTCTGACCAGAGGACCTGCGTCCACTCACAGGCCTTTGTTGTATACCACTGTCCGACTGGCTGTGGCCAGTGCAATCTCTGGCTCCAATTGGGATGTTTCAATCTGGAAAAAAAAAAAAGGACAGGCAAGAGGCCAGGTGAGAAATGGGCACTACAGAGAGGGAGGGATTAACCAGTGATACTTAGCACATGGGGCTAAAAACTGGCAAAGGTGAAAGAACTTTAATATTTAGATCAATTCTCCATTTAGAATGTGTTGTGGAATATGGTGGAAGGTGATGGTCTAAACCTAATTTCTGCCAGACTGCTTTCCAGTTTCCCCAGAAGTTTTTTTTTTCAATCAAATAGAGAGTTCTTTCCTAAGTAATTTAGTTTTCCACTTTGTCAAACATTGGATTATTGAGTTTCATTGTTTCAGATTCTCCTTTGTCTAGTCTGCTCCATAAATCTACCTCTCTAATTTTTTTTAACCAATAACAGATGGTTTTGATGATTGCTGCTTTACAATATAGCCTGAGGTCTGGAAGTGCTCTTTCCCCTCCATCTGTAACTCTTTTCATCACTTCCCTTGATATTCTAGATCTTTTGTTTTTCCAGATGAATTTTGTTATTATTTTCTCAAGTCTTATAAAGTATCCCTTTGATAATATGATTGGCATAATGCTAAAAGTGTAAATTAATTTGGTATTATTGTCATTTTTCTTATATTAGCAGAAATGCATTAGAAGATTGAAAAAAAAAAATCTGACAGAATACGTAATGTTCCATAACTGTGGATCCGTTACCTATGCAAAAGAACTGGGGGAGGTGTTTCTCCTATCTCTTCTTTGGGGTCAAATTTATTCCTTGTAATTTTGTATCATTCATTTTCAATTGTCTTGTGATTTTTACTCTTTTCGATTTTTGTGTGTATGGGGTGTCAAGCTCAAACAAAAATGGGGGTCATTAATACATACATACGGGTCACATATTGAGTTAGTTTTAAAATGCAATGTTATCTACATTTTATTGCATTTTTATTCATTTTGTTAAATATTTCCCAATTAAATTTTGATCTAGTTTGACACCTCTGGTGTATATTGTTTTCTTGTTTCTGCTTACTTCACTATGCAGCTGTTCATGTAGGTCTTTTCATGCTTTTCTGTATTCATTATGTTCATAATTTCTTACAGCATAGTAATATTCCACTACATCTATTTGCCACAAATTGTTTAGCCATTGCCTAATTGATGGACAAAGTGATTTATTTCCAGTTCTTTGCTACCACAAAAAGTACTGCTATAGATATGTTGGTGTATATGGAGCCTTTCTTTTTGTCAGTGATCTCCTTGGGGTATATGTCTAATAATGGAATCTCTGGGTCAATGGGTATGAACATCTTAGCCACTTTATTTGCATAATTCCAAATTGCTTTCCAGAATGGTTATACCAATTCACAGCTCTATTAACAATGCATGAGTGTACCTGTTGTCTTCCCACAATGCCTCCAACATTGACCTTTCACATCTTTTATCATCCTTGCCAATTTTCTGGGGATAAAATGAAACCTTGGGATTGTTTTTGTTTAATTTTTTTCTTACTTTTAGTGATTTGGAGCATTTTTTATGTGGTTGTGAATTGTTCACAAGTCTTCTTGTTTGTTCATATCCTTTAACTACTTATCTATTGGGGAATGACTTTTGGTCTTCTATATTTCTGTTGGTTGTTTATATATCTTGGACAACTATACCCTTACCTAAGAAATCTGACACAAAGATTTTTTTCACAGTTGACTAATTCCCTTCTTATCCTAGATGCATTAATTTTGTTTGTGCAAAGGCTTTTCAATTTCACATCATCAAAAATTAGTTTATCTTTTGTAATCGCCACATCCTTTGTTTGATTAAGAATTCATCTACCCATAGCTGGCCCTTTGGATACTCTCTGTTCTCCAGGCTTTAGGTGCCCATTCTGCAGACTCTGGGCCCTGACACCTGCTCATTTCTCTCTCCCAGTACCAGCCCTTGCCAGACCAACACTAGTCGACTCCTGAATCAACCCACTGCATGAAAATCTGGTAAAAAAACAAAACAAAACAAAACAAAACCAGATAAACCACAAAGAATATTCACTTCACAGAAGGATTCCCTGCTGGGCTCCCATGTAGGACCATCCCTTCTCTTCCCTTGGTGAAAATGATATCTGCTATTTTTATGTTATGTGTAAAATATTTTTGATATTATAAATCTGTAGTGGCGATAGATTTCTGGAAAGTCATCCCTTGGCTAGGGGGAGGGGTACCCAGGAGATGAGTCATCAAGATGACGCATGGAGTGGGAGCCTGTTTACCCAACCAGGACTTATCAGTCACTTCTGATTTATATATATTGTCTTCCTCACTAAAATATAAACTTGAAGACAGGGACAATTTTTGCTTTTTCTTTGTATCCCTAGCATTTAGTGCAGTGTCTGGAACATAATAGGTACTTGACAAATGCTTATTGGTTGGATGAAATGAACTGAGAGAGGGAGATACCCTCCTGGGAGAATCGGGAATTTTAGCAGGTGGCTTAAACAGGCACCATAAAATAGGAAAAGATCACAGACTTAACGATGCAGACCTGGAAGGGACATGAGAGCTCATTGAGTCTGCCCCCTCCTTATCTAACAGATGAGGATGTTGAAGCCCAGAAGAGGTAGTGACTTGTCCAAAAATCATACAGGTAGTAAGTAAAGGAGCCAGGATTTGAAGCCAGGTCCTCTGATGTCAAATTTGGTCCTCTTGGTGTGGAATCTGCTTTTGCCTACTGATTTGAGAGGGAGGAAACTGTCTTGATAAAGGTGGGTGTAGCATGAAGTCACATTGCTACTGATGAGACTGGACCCACTAATAGGTCAGGCCAAGCACTGGAAGAGCTGAAACTTGGTGGCGGGTAGAACCACTTTTCATACTTGTCTAGAGAGCAGTCTTAAGGACAGGGGAGGAGCAAGCACATCTAAAAAGAAGGCAAAATTGGAGAGATTTGCAGGTGATTGGAGGCGTTAATCAGCCCTAGGGATTCTTCTAAAATGAACTGGAGAGAATTAGTAACTTCACCAAAGTAGCAGTATATAAAATTAGCTCAAAAAAATCATCACCCTTTCTGTATATTACTAACAAAACCTAATTAAGAGGAGAGAGAAAAAATCCATTCAAAATAACTACCAAAATGTTTATAATATATGGGAATCAACCTACTGAGGCGTACTCAGAATTTGAATGAATAAAACTACAAAGTATTCTTTACAAAAATAAAGGAAGGAAAAAAAGAAAATTTAATTAAAAAAACAATAGCAAAGAAATAAAGGAAGACACATAATTGGAGAGATACGAATTGTCCATGGTTGGACAGTGCCAATATAAAAAAACTGAGTATGCTACCTAAAATTAATGTTCAGATTTAGTAACATACCAGTTGAATCATCAAGATATTACTTTTCAGAACTAAACAAAATAATAACAAATTGGCTTTAGGCAAACTGAACAGGGCAGAAAGGTCAAGGAAGAGGATAAGATTTGTGGAGCTAGAGATATAGACATGTCTGGGAACAGAGACTTTTTTTAAAATTTTCTTTATATCTCTGGCATTTAACACAGTGCCTGACACATAGTAAGCCTTTAAGAAATCCTTGTGGAGGCTGTCCCTGGGTCTTTATTTTCTCTTCTGTGAACTGGAGATGATTTCCTCCCTACTCATTAGGTTTCTGTGAAGACTGCACACAATGTGCTTTGTATAAGATAGAGCTTTGAAAAATATAAACAATTAAGCGCCATCATCATCGTAGCTGCCATTTTAAATTTGGAGCCTAAATCTGTCTCAGAGAGACATATGGGTTCTGTAGGACATGCTAAACTTCCTAAAAGAAGTGACTATGTCCTCTATGACTTTTTGGAAGCCTCTGAGCACTGTCTCACATCTAAAAGGTGCTGAATAAATGTTCATTGAGTTAGCAGATCTGAATTTAAGAGAGAACTGTCATGTGACTAATGGGGATGGGGCACCTGTAGGGTCCTGGTGGGAGAGGTCAGGAAAACAGCAGTAAGGGCAGCTATTTTCTCACTGGACACTAATTTGAGAGTCAAAAGATCTGGGTTCAAATCCCACTCCTGATATTTATTAACTGTGTGATCTAAGTCACTTCACTTCTGTGCCTCGGTTTTCTCATCTGTAAAATAAAAGGGATAGACTAGACAGATAACCCCTGAGGTCCCTTATGGCTTTAGTTACTTTATAAATGGCTTGTTAAATAGAACAGATGGAATTTCTATGGTCCCTTCCAGGTCCAAAATGGCTTTCTCAGAGACCTCTCCCCTCAGCACCACCTTAACCTTCTTCTAGTCTGACTCCACTGCCAGGAGGGAGATGAGAGAGCTAGGTCAACCATTTCCCTGCTCCTTTCCCATCATATAGCATGATCTTTATTATTCTCCTAGGTGACATAGTGGGTAGAGCACTAAGTCTTCAGTTAGGAAAAGCCAATTTCAAATCCAGCCCCAGACACTTAGTAACTGTGTGGCCCTGGGCAAGTCACTTCACCTTGTTTGCCTCAGTTTCCCCAATTGTAAAATTGGGATAATACTAGTACTTACCTTCCAGGATCAAATGAGATGGTATTTATAAAACACCTAGCATGGTGCCTGGCACATACTCGGCACTTGATAAATGTTTGTTAGATCTAAGATCTTCTTCCTGTTCTGGGCACTCTCCAACTTTGTCACTTGTCCTCCCTAAGAGGTGGTGCCTTGACCTGAGCACACCCCTCCAGAGGTGGGCTCAACAAGGCAGAGAACGATGGAAGATTGTGAGTTCCACCTCTGCAAGAAGAGTGCAGATAGATGATCCCTTCTCAGGGATGATGGAAACAGATGTTTGTTCACCACCAAGGGCCCTTCCAGCTAAGGAGATCCTGTGATTCTCCCCCAAGAATAGCTGAGCCCAGACCTGGACACACGGGGGGGGGGGGGGGTTCTGCAAGTGGTAGCTGTATTATCAGTCAGCCCTTCATCCCTTGCACATCAACCACCCCCCATGCAGAGAGGGCACTCCTTTCTCATTTCTCCCTCTAAAAATTCTTATCTTCAAG